GAAACGTTCAGAAGAAACACTGAACGAAATGCGATGCTAGCCGAAGCAGCAGACGTTCCAGCACCAACACTGGTGGAAAGAAAGAACTGAGAGTGGGGGGAGCCTGCGGTGCCCCTTATACCGCAGCATATGCGCGCCGCTCCAGGGGGTGCCAAAGCTGTTCTGCTGAGGATACCACTGAGGGAAAAACTTCCATCACCAGTGCATGTGGCGAGCACACACACCTAATATGGAATGGACATGAGCAAGCACTCGAAGAAGAACAGACTGTTACTATATGTCAGAAAAATGCCTACCGCAATGGGAATCCAATCTCAGTTGGGGCCTCTAGGTACTATCGGTAGTACAAATAAATAATAATAATAATAAAATATTAAAGCCATTAACAGTGTATAGCACTGAGTAACAAAGCAAAAAGAATACTAGACTGCAGGATTATAAAATAAATTTTAAAAATCGGTTTGGGTAAACTAAGCCAGAGGTATATAGCAGTGCAGTTAGGATAAAAAACATTTTTGTGCAGAGGGCCAGAATAATGCCTAAATAGGGCTTAAGTGGGACCCAGTTGGTACATAGTCCTTGCACTGGTCCTTTTCACTGGGGTGAATGCAACCCTTAATTGACTCTAGTTTAACACACATTTTAGAACATTTTTTTAAGAAACCCAACCCTTTATACTTAAATAAAAATATGGATCCTGTCAGTGGCTGAAAATTCACAAATGAGGATTTTTAAAACCCATTCGATAATGTTATGCCATTTATAGCCCATCTGTCTTTCTTCTGTATTTTGCCACTGTTGGGCCTTTTGACTCTCTCCATTTTTGTGTCTCCCTGCTGCTCAAAACTTTTTTCTCTCCGCATTCAAAGACTTTGTTCCCTCTCTCTTCAGCCCAGAATTCCTTCCCATATCTCATGGCCATGCTGCCAATGAAGCCCAACAAACTAGTATGTTTGATTTTCCATTAATTTTCAAATTCTTGCTTGGAGAGCAACTTTCTCTGTTAGTTTCTCGGGGGCACTTATGTGGTGCTAAATGGACTTTGTAGTCAGAGGAATCTAGCCCTTTCCCTCTTATTTTTAATGAGAGCAGCAATATGATTAGATTAGATCAGTGGTTCCCAAACTTGTTCCGCCACTTGTGCAGGGAAAGCCCCTGGCGGGCCGGGCCAGTTTGTTTACCTGCCGCGTCCGCAGATTCAGCCGATCGCGGCTCCCAGTTGCTGCGGTTCGCTGCTCCAGGCTAATGGGAGCTGCTGGAAGTGGCAGCCAGTATGTCCCTCGGCCCGCGCCGCTTCAAGCAGCTCCCATTGGCCTGGAGCAGCGAATTGTGGCCACTGGGAGCCGCGATCGGCTGAATCTGCGGACGCAGCCAGTAAACAAACTGGCCCGGCAGGGGCTTTCCCTGCACAAGTGGCGGAACAAGTTAGGGAACCACTGGATTAGACAGCTGTTAAAGAAAATCAAACAAAAGTTAATTTTAAAAGAAAGTTATTAGAGAAGACTACTAAACTCTAACAATTGTCCTGTGGCACCCGTGATCTTGAAGAGTTAAAAGGTTTTCCAAGGAACTTATGGTAAAGGGAGATAAGAAACATTGAAGTATTCTTTGCATTTCTCACAATAAATATTTGTTCAAGAGGAAGAACAGGCATATTGATCTGAACAAAAGAAAGAGCTACATAGATGTTCAAAGATATTTCTATGCCTAATGAAGGAAAGCACATTTGGTGCATCATACATTGGAGACATTGTTTAAGAACAGTTCAGATTTGTAAAATTATTACCCTCATATTGGTTTTTAGATCACTGCCTGCAAAACCCATCTTTCATGTGACTGCTTTCTTCATGCTGTACATTTTCAAATATGCTTGACATTCGGCATTTCTAAGCTGTTATGTGTGCCTGACTCATTTTCCTTTTCCTCCGTTGTCTTTTGAATTTGTGCACCTCCTACCCTCACATGTATGTCCAAGTGTGCGACTGTGCAGCAAGAAAAGAAAAGCAAACACTTGAGAAATTAGACAAGAGCACTGTAGTTCAGTAATAATAATCCCAGCCTACTGACAATAATTAAGGAACCTCATACAATATTTCTTTGTGAAATGTGAGTAGTACTGAATTTTACATTCAAAGTGTTAAATTAATCCTAAAGTAGTCCATCAGTCAAAGGGGGCATGCAGAATCTAGACAAAATGCAGGCAAAACCATAATTTAACACATTAAAAATCTGTCTTTTAAAGTATTTATAACTCATTCATCATCGCAGTCTCCATCTTACAAAAATTGTACACATTTAACGCAGTTTTTAGTTCTCTGCTGCCAAGCATGACATTATGTCTTTTTTAAACAAAACACATCTTCATCATCATGGGAAGGTTATGGAGGAGAAACAGGTTTTACATTCTGAATTTGGGTCATACTGGGTTCTTATGCTAGTGAGCTTGATAACCAGGAGCCAGTGAGAAAGAAAGCTCTGTCCCACTCTCCCATAAGACTCACTATTTTTGTTGACAGTTCCCTGCCTAAAGAGTGCAGTTGTCACTGTACATCATCTAAAAGAGGAAGCAAATCTCTGAGATGATCCAGTCCCCTTTGACAACTTTAAAAATTAGATCCCAGACTATCCAGTTGATCTGGTATTCAATGGGGAACCAATGTAACTTTCAGAGCACAGGAGTGATGTGTTTGTTCTTATATTGATGAATGGGTAGGATGCTGCATTGTGGACAAGATGAATATTTTATAGGGCCTTTATGTTCATAGTTATTGTAATAGTCAAGCCTGGAAACTACAAATGCATAGACCATTTTGGCTAGATCAGCATCCATTAAGAGTGGAGAAACCACCTTGTCAACTGTATATGGAAGGAGGCATTTTTAGGAGCTGTTGCCTATCTGGGTTTCCAGTAGCAGTTAGGAGAACCTTAGTGGTCTAGGGGCATATAACTTTATCTCCTATCCTCCTTGTTAAAATTAACATGTTGAACTTTCCCCCCCCCTAACATTAAGTCCATCCTATTTGAGTTTTTTGTTAGCTTTTTCCTCTTTATCCAGGCACTTCCTTCACACAGCTAAGAGATAGTAATGTTTGCTCTTGATGCAAAAATATGTACAGCAAATGCTGTCTGCACACAGCTGGCATTTTAGTCCAGACTGTTTCCCAGTATTTTACATATATATTAAAGAGGGAAAAAGAGAACAGCTTGTGAGGTTTCTGAAGGCAGAGATGTGTGTGTCTATTACAGTTCTTTAAGGATAGTTTGAGAAGAGATTTAAACCATAACAGTGCATTTATTTGCACCCAGTTAGGTCACCAAGATGAGTCAGTAGTGTCCAATGACTGAAAATGTCAAAGATTTCTGAGGTAAAAGAGGAAAAAACCTCACTGTAACTGGGTAGCAGCATTTACCTGAACTCACCCTAACCCGTTAGCAGTTGATGAGCCTACTGGATAGCATTACATGTATTTTGCTATTTCATTGTTACATTACTCTACCCAGATGTAAGACAGTGGCTCTCTAAGACAGAAGATACAAGGTGTAAACTCAGCAGTCCACAGGGAGGAATTCTGGGAGCAGCTAATCCTGAAGAAAAGGCTTGAACTGGATTTTGTGTTTCATTTAAAGTTCATTTTGTGAATAAAACTAAACACCAAAAAAGGGAGAAGTATTAACCCTCTATGACTTGTGTGGATTGGGTCTCAAAGTCACTGGCTCATATTCACCATCCTCTGTATATTGTTTGCCCACTTTGAGATCTTTCATGTGTTTTTACATTCCAGGATTTTTAAGAGTAGAAGAGTACCACGAATCCCTAACAAAATAAAGACTGTTCTCACTAATACGGGATGACAAGTCAGTAAAAGCCATCTGTGCCCTACTATTTTTCAATCCCACATTAAATATTATCACTGATGTAAGGCTTTGGAGTGAAATTCATTCAACACCATTAACAATAAGAACTGCTGTTTTAGATTTGAAATTACATACTCTGCATGCAGCAGTTTGCTCTGTAATAACAGTGCCATTTGGATGAGTCAAAGCTGTATCTAGAATAGCACAATCTGTACATGTTCTAAACATATCAGTCTCCAGATGGAGTTGTGAACAGAATGTAAACCTTGCTTAAAAATGGGCAGTGCTTTAATAGCTATTAAAATAGAAAAGTAATTAGTAACCATTTATTTTTAAAGAGTGAATTCCCCAAAGCCAGACAGCTTTTAGAGCATCTTGCTAAAAAAAAAATCTTTTTTATTAAAGTTTTTCACCATAATTGGAAAGAAGATGAAAAGAAAAACCAGTTTCCAAAAAGAGCTTCTAGAATCCACAAAGAGCAAAGTGATATTCCTTACAGTCTACTATGGGCCTCATAATGCAGATCTAATATACCTGTGCAGCATTGGCACACAGGCACTGCAGAAAACTGTAAGATTAATAACCATACACAGACACTACTGAGCCCCTGCATCAGCTTAGTTATAGTGTTCTATATGTAAACTTTACAACATTTAAATTTACATAGAAAACTAATAATTAAATGTGAAAAATGTATAAAAGTTTATAAAGTTATACCTCCACTGTGATGTCTACAAGAAATCAACCAGCTAACAATGGCTAGGGTAATTGAAGACAGCTAATATTTGTTTTAAAAATGCTTTCAAATTATTTAGAATCTTCAAGTTTTGCAACAGCTAGCCCATGTAACTGTGTAATCTTACTACCAATGCCCTCACCCCTTCTCCTCTCTGTCCTCCTTCTGTTTGTTTCACTCACTTGTGTCTTGTTTCAAATTAGATTGTAAGCTCTTTGGGCAGGGACCATGTCTTCCTGTTTGTCTGCACAATGCCTAATACAATGGGATCCAATTAGGGCCTTTCAGTGCTACCTCAATGATACTAACAACAACATTATGGGGTATGAGTAAAATTTAGAAAGTAGTTTAATTTTCCATTTCATTGCAGCTAGTGATTTGCTTAAGACACAAAAACTCAATCTCTCACCTAATGTTTCCTTCTGTAATTCATGACATCTGTTTTGTAATTCATTCTCTTGTTGGAGTGAAGTTTGAAGCTGCTGACTTTTCAGCTTAACTGTTTCGGACACCAACTTCAAATGTTTCACATCCTCCTGGAGGGACACTTTATCCCTCTGGAATTCTGCCAGCCTTTGATTCAGTCTGGATACTTCTGAGGAAAAAATTATGTAAAATGTTAATAAATTTACATTCTAAAATACAAAGACATTGCCATAATCCCAATGCCTGTCTTCTGTTAAGGACTCAATCTATAATTTTAGTTAAGGTACAAAGCCATTGTAAGATATTTACATCAGCACTGCATCTTTCTGCTGAAAACATGGATGAAAGAGGTGGCTTTTCCAATGCATCTACTCTCAGGCAACTTGCACTAGGCTGTTGAAATATTAAGCATGAAATGCAATGTGAGTGATCCTTCTTTTGAAATGAATAAGCATAGGGATTTATGCATACAAGTTCCATTAATACTAACCTTTTATTTGTAAACTCCCTGAGCAGTAAAATGAAAATAAACTCCTAAAAGCTCACGTTGGGGTTTGTTTTCTGTTTTTTTCAGGGTTTTTTGGTCAGGTATTGATGGATATTACAGGATGAATAATACTAGTTTTAATAAATAATAATGTACAATTTCTCTTAGATCTCAAAATAAAATTCATATGGATTTATTAGAAAGACACACATTAGCACCAGAATAGTAAAAATACATCCGAATTTCCATAACCTCCATTTTCCAAACATATTTCCAAGATGAAAGTTACCACACAAAGTCCCACTCTGAGACTAAATATTTTCTTTTTCAAATATTCAGGATAAACTTCCCATTTTTTCAGTTCAGTACATTTAACACTACATTACATGGTGCCAGTCCTAAAACTTGATCTATATGGGCAGTCTTAGGCCTGCGTGTAGTCCCACTGAACTCAAAAGGGTTCCATGCAGGTTAAGAGTCTCACCTGTGGTAGACTGGAGCTCATGAGTTTTAAAAAAATAAAGTTCATTTGTTATTATATATTTTTTATGTCCATTAACTCAAAATTGTCTGTTATATGAAAAATAAAACATTAACAAAACTATTTCATTATTCACTTTTGATATTTGAATGAAGTAATCCAGATAATTAACTATCAAAGATAACTATAAAACAAGTAAAATAATTTTTAGGATTTTATTCATATCTAAAACACATGTTAAAAGTATAAATCCTTAAAGCTCCAAGGAGACAATGTTGCTTTAAAAAGTATATTGTTTTGCCTGATGGTTGCAGAACTGATTTATATCTCTGAAGATGGCTTTGTTTTGGGGCACCCAAAAATCTGATCAATTACAACTAGCACAGAATGCAGCAAACTGATTATTGCTGAGAGTGGACAGAGCAGATTCTGACCACCTGTTGCAGCTTTGACTTCAGTGAGTGGTATTCCTACATATACCTAGGCTGAATTTGGTCCATGGTATTTTCCCACCCCAGTAAACCTGTACCTTTCCTATGTATTCACAACAAAATTCAACAATGAGCAACAGGGGTTTATTTGAACCCAAACCTTTCTAACCTTTGAAGCCTCAGACCCTATTTCTGAAATACAAAAAAATGTATAAACCATTTTGAAATCAAAGCTGGAAGGGTTCGTAGAGCTTTAGTGGAGACATTCATGGAAATAGCCCTTTTAAAAGTATATTTTAAAAACTTAGTTCAGACATACAGTCTTTGAGAATAATATCAGATTTTATTTTTCATTTTGTTACTCATTTTAATTATTACTGTTGAAGAATCATATGCTATGTCTTCACCACAAAAAGATGGGTTTTTTTACTGTGGGATAACTAATACATATTAGCTATACTGCCATAAGAGCCAAGTAGAAACAAGGCACAGGTCATGTTTACCACAAAGTAAATATGACAGGTCAACCACAAGTGGGGGAATAGTACTGACCTCACACCTCACGATAACTACAGTGCCTTGTCTCCCCTGGGATTTTACCACAAGATAGAGAACATGCATTAGTTATCCCATAGTAAAAACATATCTTTTGTGATACTTTAAGCCTTTATTTGTTTTATTGGATGATGGTTATGACTCTTTCAGTAGTTAGGTGGTATAATAAGAAATATAAGATGTTTATTACAGAAGTTCAGTCTCATTCTTTAGAACTTCTAATAATAGGAGTTTTTATCAGCTTTCCCTAGTTGCATGCATCTGGGTGCCAATAAAGAGAGATTACATCACAACCAGAATGCCCTTGCAAGTTTAAAGGGTACATACTGTTGCCTGTTTTCTCTATGGTAAAATGAGATTGGCTAGTTTAGCATGTCAAGTATTTAAGAATGCAATGGCACTAGTCAGTCAAATGACTTTTATGTCAACATGCTTGTATCTTTTCCAGGGTACATTAAAATGGTTCTTTTCAGTCAAGTATGTTCTAGTACAGTGGTTCTCAAAGCTGGTCCACTGCTTGTTCAGGGAAAGCCCCTGGGGGGCCAGGCCAGTTTGTTTACCTGCCACATCCGCAGGTTCGGCCGATCGCGGCTCACACTGGCCGCGGTTTGCCACTCCAGGACAATGGGGGCTGTGGGAAGGGCAGCCAGCACATCCCTCGGCGCGCTCCGCTTCCCACAGCTCCCATTGTCCTGGAGCGGTGAACCGCGGCCAGTGGGAGCCGCGATCGGCCGAACCTGCGGACAGGGCAGGTAAACAAATCGGCCCGGCCCACCAGGGGCTTTCCCTGAACAAGTGGTGGACCAGCTTTGAGAACCACTGTTCTAGTACACAGAAAAAAATATGATTTCAGTACAAAATTCTTTCATACAATCATAACATTTAACTAGTAAATAAGATAACCCGCCTTCCTGTTTCAAATATATTTGTTAAAACAAGCTATTTATTTACTATCCTTGGTTTCCAAAGTATTTCCTCCAGGAACAAGACTCCTAGAGCCATGAAAAATATTTTGTGATATGCTGTTTTAGTCCAACAACCTTTACTTATTCATATTATTAATTATTATTATTTATATGACAGTAGTGCCCAGGGGCACCAGTTAGGAGCAGGGCCCCATTGTGTTGGACATTGGACAAACAAACCAAAAGAAAGGCTCAAAGAGCTTACAGTCTTAGGCCTTAATCCTACAACTTGTTCTGTGCAGGAGCAAGTTCCAACCACACCACCTGAAAGAAGTTGTAGGCTTCGGCCCCAAATAAGGGCAAGAGGCACCAAGTGAATGTAGAATACAACACAGGGTAGAGGAGAGCAGGCAGATAAGGATGACAGGAAGAGAAACATAAGGTTGCCGATATTAGCTGAGTGTAAGTTGCATAGTTAAAAAAAATAATTGATAAAATATATACAAAGCTTTGTATTTATTTTATAAGGTTACTTTTGAGCAGAAAGATCCTAAAGACCTGTTGCTGAAGACATTTAAAACTAGACAAGACAAAAATCAAATAAAATACATTGTAGGGGACAAACTTATACTGGCAGGGGAATGAACTAGGTCTTTTCTGTATCTATCAGTCTATGAAATATATGTATTAAAACCTTACACTGACAAACTTTTAGACTATGACTGTATCTAATCCTGCATTCCTTGGGCACCCAAACCCCAATTAATTGAATTGTGTTTTTTGGGTGCCCAAAGAATGAAAAATAGGGCATGCTATGTGTTACTTAATTCTCCTGCAAAAAGAAAAGGAGTACTTGCGGCACCTTAGAGACTAACAAATTTATTTGAGCATAAGCTTTAGCTCACTTCATCGGATGCATGCAGTGGAAAATACAGTGGGGAGATTTTATATACACAGAAAACATGAAACAATGGGTGTTACCATACACACTGTAACAAGAGTGATCAGGTAAGGTGAGGTACTACCAGCAGGAGAGCTGGAGTCTGTTTTTGAAGCTTTTTGTTGAAGAATTGTAACAAATTTATTTGAGCATAAACTTAGACTCCAACGAGAGACTGCTGAATTGGGATTAATTTGCAAACTGGACACCATTAATTTAGGCTTGAATAAAGACTGGGAGTGGATGTGTCATTACACAAAGTAAAACTATTTCCCCATGTTTATTTTCCCCCTCTACTGTTCCTCACACGTTCTTGTCAACTGCTGGAAATGGCCCACCTTGATTATCACTTCAAAAGGTTCTTTTCTCTCCTGCGGTAATAGCTCACCTTACCTGATCACTCTCATTACAGTATGTATGGTAACACCCATTCTTTCATGTTCTCTGTGTATATAAAATCTCCCCACTCCATTTTCCACTGCATGCATCCGATGAAGTGAGCTGTAGCTCACAAAAGCTTATGCTCAAATAAACTTGTTAGTCTCTAAGGTGCCACAAGTCCTCCTTTTCTTTTTGCAGATACAGACTAACACGACTGCTATTCTGAAACCTTAATTCTTCTGTTTACTTTAAAGCCAGGAAAAGGAGGCTCTTCCATTACATACAAAATGTTGGTTCTGAAATGTAGAGCACCCTCTTTTAATGCACCAATCTGTACCTATGGATAAGAAGAATGTTTGTTTTGGGAGAACAAGGTTCACTTTTGATACATGCTTATTTTTGAACCTGCAGCAGTGGGTGTTCAGTTGTGTTTGTACTACTTTTATTCATATTACTAGTTACAATGTTCCTGACATTGAGATTAAGTCTCATTTGTGTCTGTCAAACCAACAACTGCATAATTCTTTGTGTGGTCCACAGGCAGATTTTTAATAGTTTATGCAGGCAAGTATTTCCATTAACTATGCCTTATCCCAGTTGTTATCTTAATACTTATTAATACTGATTTATTGACAAAGGCATTGCAAGGTACACAAAAAATGATTAAAATGTAGGTTACCACTTGACATTAATTATCCAGGGCTGAATAATGTCCATACATAATCATTTTTAAAGGTTTTTAAGAATGTCATGTATAAACTAGTCCAGGACATTGTGGCTCAAGAGCAGCATTTCATAAACCCTATTTTTATATCTATGACATAGAAGACAAGTTCTCCAAAGACTATTCCTGAAAGCTACAACAAAAAAGTAGCACTATAAGTGATCCAAACACTGTATACTTTTAAACTAAACTAAAAATAATAATTTTCTAAATCCTAACACTTATCCCAGAGACAGTCAAGGCTACATGAAAAGGCAAACTTGCA